GTGAAGGGGAAAAAAAATAAGAACCAAGAGACTCATGTAATGGTACAAGATCCCAATGATGAATGTAACTGTATTTTATACCTAAACTGTACCAATAAAGTTAATGGGGGAAAAAAGAAGCCAGCAACTTGCCCAAGGTAAGGCAGCCATGGATCAATAGATGGCACAGGTTCCAACACAAGGTGACCAGAGCTGGCAGCCTGGGTCATAGTCTCCCTTAGGGCACACCTCAGGAAGGCTAGTCATCTTTCTCATGATGCTTCAGCACCCCACCCCACCCTCAAAGACTGGATGGGGTGCTTCCTAGATGGCCCCTTCACACACTGGACCCTGGAGGTCCCTAATAAACCATCCCCCTGCCTCCACCTCCACCTTGGTGCTGTAAGGCTAGGCATGGCTACAAACCTGGGGCTCAGTTCAAAGCAGGCTGCCCTTGGCTCCTCCACAAGTCACTAGGAGCCCTCAGGAAAGAAAGGGGCAAGATGCCTTATAGTAATGCTCTGGGACTACAGAATGGATGGGGTGGTGAGAAGAGAGGAATAGAGGGGAGAAAAAGGACGAAAAGAGGAGGGGAGAGAGACAGGCTGGGCAAAGACCTGGGACTCTACATAAGCAGCACAGGCTCAGAGCTGAGACTGGTGGCAGGACCAGGAGGGCACAGATAGGAGGCCACTGGGGAGGGAGTGGGCTTCCCTTAGAGGGTGATAGAGGAAGCTACTGACAGATTACAAGTGGAAAGGGGAAAGACAAGACCTAAGGTCTATCAGGGTGTTCTGGGGCCAGTGACAAAGACACCAGGGTGTGTCCAGAGGCCTGTGGGACAGTGAGGGAGATGGGAACTCGAATGTGGCTATGGGGCACCCACTCTCCTGGGAGCCTTCTCTTCTCTGGGGATAGAGGCCAGGGTCCTCACAGGGTCAGCTGCAGCACTGACTTCCTCCTTCATCTCTGCAGAAGCAAAAGGTCATGGTGATGGACACCCCAAAAGCAAAGATGAAGGGTGGGAAGAAGGTCAAAGGTATCTGGAAGCAGCAAGAAAGGGTCACCAAATCGAAGTTTCAGGAGCAGGTACCAAGGCTGGCCTGCCGGGCTCTCCTCCATCCCGGCTTACTGCTCCCCTGCACAGTGTCTGGCCACGTTTCAACCTGAAAGCTCTGAAATGCATGCCTGCCTCACAGTGACATCAAGATGAATCCGCCACACCCCCAGCACCTCACACCTGTCCACCTTCACCCTCAGCCTCCCGTGTTCTGTGTTCCCATGGTAGAGGTCCATGGTCAGCAAGCACCTTCCTCCACATCGCTCTCCCCACACCACTCTGAATGCCATTTTTTTAAAAAGCTAGAAACACCGTGGCCATGTGAACATAGGAACCCCCCTGCTGGACAGTGCAAGTGGCAGCCGCAGACCCACTCCCTCCAAGGGCTGCGTGTTCTCAGAGCCCCTCTATGCCCCTCAACTAGGGAGAATTAAAAAGGAAGCATTACTCAGCCAGCACGGACAGACTCCCCACTCCCTCCAATCTCTCCCAGTCCCAGGGAGGGCCTCTCCTCTGCCACTTGGGCGAGTCTTTCGATCGAGGGTGGGCCAAATGGAGCCAAATCCCATAACCAGAATGTGACTTCTTTCCTGCTTCCTCCAAGACTCCAGGACCAAGCTCCAGGAGGCTTATAGGCTCCATCACATTGTACCAAAGGCCTTTTGGAGGGGAGCAAAGGCACCTGAGCATCTTCGCAGGCACCTACGACAAGGATGGCTCCAGAAGATCAGGTAAGGGAAGAGCCAGGAACCGTCTTCCTTGGCACCCTGCTCTCAGGGGAACCAAAAGCTCACAGCATCCTTGAGGCAGAGGCATCCGCACACAGAAACTCAGGTGGAGGTTTAGGGACCATGCCAGGGCAAGCTGGACTGTCCTGGACAGGAGACGAGTTCGTGTCAAGGTTCTGCCCAGCCTCTGCATTCTCCTCCCAGGAAGTCAGCATGGTGTGTCCCCTGCTCCCAAGCCATTTTGGTGACACTGACCTCATGAGCTCCAGATTTTATAATTAATTCAGATACTGACAACGTCCATGACAGAAGGTGCCATACATGCTGGACTGAAACCTACCAGGTAGTACTCACACCCAGGAAGGGACAGGCAAATTTCTGATCCTACCTCCACCACCGTATGAGGAACAGAGTTGTATAATCCTGGGTAAGTTTCTGCATCTCTGGGATCCAGTTTTCCCCTATACAAAGTGGGACGATAATATTACCTAGTCATGGGGCTTTAGTGAGATGATGCATGTAAACCACCTAGCTTGACACAAGGGAGGTGCTCAGTAGATACCAGTGACTATATCTAAGTAAAATGTTTGCTAACATTTCCAGTGGGCTGTACCATGGAGTGGGAAAAATAAATGTATTAGTTGTGCCTGGCATCTTGGAACAGGGATTCCAACAAGCCCCAGGGAAAAGTAGGCAAGAGTCTCTGAGCAGGAACCGCCAAGTCACCCACACAAAATTGTCCCTGTTGCACCCAATAAAACATCTTTTCCCCCCTTTCATTTAATATACCAAACCCATTGTAACCAAACTGTTACACTTGTCTGTCAAATTTACATATGATTGGCTTTGAATGCAGCACAGGATCCTGGATTGAATCCCAGAACTGTACTTCAGTGGAAAAACTCATCAAATCTGTAAGAGCTCTATAATGTGCCAATGTAAATTTCTTAGTTTTGACAACTGTACTGTGGTTATATAAGATGTTAACATTTGGGAAAACTGAGTGAAGAGTATACAGAAATCCTCTTTTTTTTTGCAACTATTCTGTAAATCCACAATTATTCCAAACTACAAAGTTTATTAAAACTTCTTATGCAGAAACCAAATTGGCTATGCCCTCAGGGAAGCCCCATACTTTAGACAAGTTTTCTGGGACCCCTAGTGTCCTTCTGGCTCTAAAATCCTGGTCCTATAAGGTTCATGAGTTTCTTTAGATACTGCTTCCAGTAGATTTTCTCCAATTCCTGATTCCTGGCAACCCACACACAGAACACCCCTGTTTCCTTGATTTTTGCCCCAAATATCTCACACGGAGCCTTTGTATGTAAGCAGATTTTACCAAAGTTTTAAGGGCAGCAGAGAGAAAAAATTACATCACAGAGCAAACAGACTGGATATGGGACTGCCTTATTCTCCAAAGTTCTTTGTCTTCTGTCCCTAGATTTTTTTTTTCCTGGCTACATTTCACTGCAGGAAATTCTCAACTTCAAGAATGGGATTAGGGTGAGACAAGCCAGGCACCTAAGGCACAAAATTAAAGGAGGCACACATACTCAGGTACTGGCACTATACTTGCATAAGCTTAAGAGTGAGAGCCTCCTTAAATTCTCCTTCACCCTGCCTGTCTACCTCCAGGCTGACCCCAGTCTGGTCAGCTCTCTTCCTTCCTCCTTCTTTCCTTTGCCCTCTCCTCCCTCCTGCATTTCTCACCCCACACATTCTCATTGACTATTCACTTTGAGAGATCTTTGTTTCATTTATCTCATTCTCAAAGTAGGGCGTCAAGATTATTTTCCTTCAAAAAATCAGTTTTATTTCCCTAAAAGAAATACTGTTTCTTACATAACTGTTGGCTACACAATTATTTTTATCTCACTGCATAAGGATGCAGCGGGACACTCTGACTTGCAAACTAATTGATCCTAGGCAGCTCCCTTTCTTTCTTTCTTTTTTTTTTTTTTTTTTTTTTTTGTCTGCTGTCTGCCACTTTATTTTATTTATTTATTTTTTGTTAAATTCTTTTATTGGTACATTGTAGGTATACAACACAATTACATTTCTCATTGGGAATTGTACCTTTACACAATGCATCTTGGTTCTTATTTTTTCCCCATTCCTAGCCCTCCCTTCACCCCCTCCACCCTTCCCTATTTACAAAGACTTTATTTCCATTTTTTCCATTTCTCATCATTTTTCCTTTCCCTTCTTTCCTTTCCCCTGCCCCTCCCACTACCCCTACCCCTTTGGACCTTTTCTTCCTATTTTGTATTATCAATTATTCATTCTGCTCATTGGTACATTTTAGGTATACAATATAATGACATTCATCATTGGAAATTTGCACCTTTACATAGTCTCTCTTGGTTCTTATTTTTCACCCTTGCCCAGCCCTCCCTTCAACCCCTCCAGTCCTCCCTATTTACAAAGATTTTGTTCCTATTTTTCCATTTTCTCATATTAATCCCATTCCCTTCTGTCCTTTCTCCTACCCCTCCCACTTCCTTCCCCTTCGCCCCTTTTCTTCCTATTTCACATTACCTATTATACATTTTAGTGAAATAAATAGGACATACATATATAAATATCAAATAGTTTCTCTGGTGTGAGAAACTGAAAGTGTAAATAAGGGCTCCCTTTCTTTCTTCCTCCTCATCCAAGGCAAATCTACTTGTGGGAGAACGGAGAAGCTTTGTCTCTCCTGCTGTAATACAACCAGTGGCCACTGGAAGCAGCAAACAGGCCAGTTAAGGGCCGCAGAAGAAGTTCAAAGAAGCCTAATAGCAGCCTATGAATCCAAATGTGGCTTCCAGGGCTGTCAGGGCTGAGCCTGAGCAAGGGGAGCTTCTTGTACAGTCTGGCAAAGGTCCTAAAGTAAGTGGGCAGGATCTAGACTAGGAGACAACTTCAAGACAAAGCAGCCCCTAGGAAGGGCATGGAACTGCTTACATCCCCAACTCTCAATGTTATTAGTTTGAATCGCCATAAGCTTAGCAAACTCAGCATGCCTCTCATTGTATCCTCCATTTTAGAAAATGGCATTATTCCAATATGGTAGCCCAAATTGGAAATCAGAGTTTCAGTTCTGTCTCTCCTCCCTCCTTTAACCTCCATGACCATTTGTCAAGTCCTAGCTTCCATCTTCTTTATATCATTAATCTCTTTCTCTTTGTCTCCATTTCCATTACCATTATCTGAACCTCCAATAACTATCGACCTCTAGAACTGCCATATTGTCCTTTCTAACTTTTTTTTGCCTTTATATTTAAAGTGACTTGTTATAACACCACCATAGAAAACTAATAAAGCTCCAATAACTGAAAACTGACCTTGAAGAAATGAAGATACATAAACTGATTGACAAATAACTTTGAACAATCCTCTTAAAGAATTCAGTGAATTACAAGAAAACAGACAAGTAAGTGAAATTAGGACAACCATACTTGAACAAAATGATAAGTGGAACAAAGAAATACAACCAGTAAAAATATTCTAAAAGATGAAGACAATATCTGACTGAAAAGTACAATAGCGCACTTTAAAAAGCAGATATGATCAAGCAAAAGATCACTAAATTCAAAGACACATTTTAAATTATCCAGTAGGGGGAGCAAATAGAAATAAAGGATAAAAATGATGAAGAACTCTTATTGATTTTAGGAGACACCATCACACAAAATTATATATATATATATATTATGGGTGTCCAAAAAGAAAAAGGAGAAAGGGACTAGAAGATTATTTAAAGAAATAATGAAGCCAGGTGTGGTGGCGCATGCCTATAATCTCAGCACTTGGGAGACTGAAACAAGAGGATTGTGAGTTTGAGGCCAGCCTGAGTTATACAGCAAGACTCTGCCTCAAAAAAAAAAAAAAGGCTTGAAAACTTCTCAAATTTGGGGAGCGATATGAATATATATAGATTCATGATGTCCAAAGATTTCCAAATGAGTTGAAAAGACATCTACAGTGAGACTTATTATAACTAAATTGTCAAAAGTCTGAGCAAAGAGAGTGTTTTGAAAACAACAGAAAAGCAATTTATGCATACAAGGGAATCTCCATGAGACTGTCAGTGAATTTCTCAGCAAAAATCCTCTAGGCAGGGGTGGGGAAGGTGAAACATTCAAAATAATGAAATTTTACAGAACACTGCCAACCAAGAATACTATACCCATTTAAAGCTGTGTTTCAGAAATGCGAGACCTTTTCAAACAAGTAAAAATTGAAGGACCACATCCCTAACTACCTTATAGGAAATGCTAAAGGGAGCACTTCAATTTAAATGAAAGGACACTAACAGCATAAAAAAAAAATATGGATGTATAAAACTAACATGCAAAGATCAATACATAGTCAAATTCAGAATTCCCTAATATTGAAATGGTGTTGTATAAAACACTTTCAACTCTAATATATGAAGTTTTTAAAAAAACATATTTTAGATAATCTGGTGGTATATACCTGCAGTCTCAGCACTCTGGGAGTCTGAGACAGGAAGCAATCACAAGTTCAAGCCCAGTCTGAGCAATTTAGTGACTTAGTGAGATCTTGTCTCAAAATTAAAAAGAGGGTATGGATGTAGCTCAATGAAAAGGCCCCAGGTTCAATACCTCCAAAAATAAATAAATAAACAAACAAAGTTTTAAAATATATTTTAAGGGAACTTTTATATTTGCCCACATTTTAGGAGCTCTTCATTCCTTGGTGTAGATCCAATTTTCTGTCTGGAGTCATTTTCTTCCCCCTTAAGATCTTCATTTACCATATCTTGTTGTATGGGTTTGTTGGTGATAAAGTTTTACAGCTTTTGCATATCTAAAAAAATTTTTTTTGGTCGGGGATTTAGCTCACTGGTTTCCCCGCCTGCTGCGCAAGCTCAAGGACTGGAGTTCGATCCCTGGTACCAAAAAATAATTGAATAAATAAAAAAATTTTTTTCACTTTTGCTTCTGAAAATTCTGCAATTTTCCTGAGTGTGGAAATCTAGATTGACAGCCTTTCTA